AAAATTGAAATTTTAACCAACGATTTCGTGTTCTTTTCTGTACATCTCCATTTTTATGCAACCCAATAGCTTAATTAAAAACACCGTACTTGCTTATTTATTTATTTATTTATTTATTTATTTATTTATTTATTTATATATTTAATTTTCACAAAGAGTTTGACAAGGGAAATACTTATCAACGGAGATTTGGACTCTGGCTCTGAATGAATAAATTTTCAATCTATATGTCTAGATGGATGTATGAATGTCTGCATGTATATATCTTTTCAGTTTGGCGTATACATCTCCTGTATATGTGCTGTGTATTTTCCTTCTGACAGCTAGTTGCTGAAAATTTTAATAAATAATCAGAAGAGATAAGCGTAATTAATCACTATGTTTGTGTATAAAATGCATTAAATTGGTAACTTCTAGCAAAAATATTTTGGATAAATTCGTTTATGAAGCATCTAAAATAAGAGATTTTTATTTGTCCAGCAAAGTGTTGCAAAGAGTGCGTATACTTGCCCATCTTTAAATTCCAGCTTTTGTTGAATACCTTTTCTAACTATATGTTAAAAATAGTTGTATGTCATTTGATAAAGACTCAATATATTTAATATGTACTCTGTGTGAATGTACTTGCTTAAAAAAAAACAAACATTTTGAATTCGACTTAAATATACTGGAGCGAGTAAAACATTCGCAAATTCGTCACACTGGCTTAACTCCCTTTTACGGTCACGGCTGCTTCACGCTCAGCTGAGGTGCCGTTATCTTTTGTTATTTTCTCTACGATGGCTTTTGAGAAGAATGCAAAGATTTTGCCAAATACGTAGAATGAAAATATATGGAAATCTTTATTTTCAGAGATGGAGCACACGACTGATAATGTTATGAGATAGCACGCGACAGATGTCACAATATACTAATACACATCACAATGAAGCGCATCTGAAGTGCATTACATAGTATGGTTGTTTATGCCTCGCTTATTATCGGACTTTAAGCTGTGATTAGAGAAGGGATGTAGAATTCAATCAGTGTGATCGTTTAGGTTTACATGGCACAGTGATCAAAGGGTGTGTGTGTGTGTGTGTGTTTTCGATTTTTAACATAGCATTAGCACTTTTCCAGTCATATCTCTACGATATCTTGTCATGACCCTGTAGTTCAATTACATGTGTGTTAAGATTTGAATTTTTATATTGTATTTTAATTTTTCTTCATTTTATATCATTAAATATAATTATTATGATGATGATTATGTTTACATGGGTCTGATATTTTGTTGGAAACATCGCGTTTATTTAAAAGGTAAATGTGACTCGTGTAAGCACAAATTTAACATGAAGGTTTTGTCGTTACAAGTAAAAAGTCATGAAGAGCTAGGTAAATGATTGGCTGTGACCGAGGTAGTTTCTAATATACTTGTTAACGTTTTGTAATACCCAGGTGTGATTTCGAAAAAGCACGTGTCCTTCGTGCGTGCGTACATGAAATGACGTATTTTTATTATTATTATTTTTTTTTGCTTTAAATGCTTAGTTACCTGTAAGAAATATTCAGTCATAGTCGGCCATAGTCGAGAGTTAATCATAAAATCTTAGAGTTTCTAATACCTTAAAAGGTTTTTATGTGCTGAAAAGAGTTGCTCGTTCGTACGTATGAGGAACAACATGTGTATTCTTAGTAGTGGTAGCTATACTTCGTCTACTTTCTAAAAAAATATTTTACCAGAGCAACACTACTGGCTTTGGACAAAGACATTTGCTATTTTATTTTTCCAAATTCGAGCAGAATAATACAAATTGTAATTAACAGTCAAAATTCTGGACATTTTGTTTTAACCTTCGTCTGGCGTCATCATTCCATTCTTGGATCAGAACTGATATTTAGACTATCAGTTTAGAACTGTTGATTCACATGACTTGCATGTTTACACAACTTTAGAACAAATTTTTGGATCTTCTTCGTAAATCTTGGTCGTAAATCTTGTTTCAGATGTTTACCTTTTCTCCGTGTTTTTTTTTTGAAAATAAATTATTATTGTTAAAATTTACAACGCTTGTTGTAGTCACTCTTTGTGTTACTTTGAACTAGCCGATATGTAATAATCTGCAGTCTTGGTATTTATAGAGATGTTTGTTTGGCATTGGGGCATTATGCCGCAGACGCGTAGCATCATGTCGCAGCCAGTCATAATATCCTGACACCAGGCCAAGCAGTTCCAACACTAACCTCTTAATGTTGAGCGCCAAGCGATGCAGCTGCTAGCATCATTTTTGTAAGTCTCTGGTATAACTCGGCCGGGTTAGAACCCTCAACCTCCGATTTGGACGCTGTAACCACTTGGGTCATCGGAGCGGTGCAGTGGTCAACAAAAAATTATGGCACCAATGTATTATGAAAGAGTACCGAGTAGTGAGAAGTGTGAATAGTGTCTATATCGGCAAAAATAATCATTCATTTCGCAAGACTATTAAATACCAAGGAAGGTGAATTTTATCACGTGTGCAATATGGCTGAAACTGTTAAAATGCTTAAAATCTCAAATGGCGTGTTCGCGTTAGATCTGAGCACGATTTTCACCAATTATGGACGTTTATGATAGTAAATTTGTTCAAAAGGATGTTAAGCAGAAATAATTTAACTGAATTTTCACAAAACTCTTTATATCTCAACTTCGTCTGTTTTCAAAATAGTTTATTTACATGTTTATTATCTTATATACTAATATTATGTAATACAATTCGTTCTTAGTTTAGTAGGATTGATTTGGTAATTGCCGTTTAAATATAATGGATTCGTTATAACACTTAGCACACTCTGTGGCATTGTAAGTGCCACATTGACAATTGAGTGGTTTGAAGTAAAGACTAACTCTCTTGATAGACTTGATAAATGCTACAAAAAGCCTGAAGTAAGGAACTTTTTAAAACGTTTGCTAATTGCTTTTTACACACACACGCGCGCGCGCGAGCCAAGTGTGAACTATAAAACCATTTTGGGGGTTGCGAAACTTCCCAGAGGAAAATTTTATCCATGCAAGTAAAATTACTTTCATGAAAACTGATATCTCATAAATTCTTTTGGCTCGAGAAAAAGAATATCACCCAAGTTCTGACATATGTAGACCGATTTTTTCCAGTTCTTCCAGTTCTTTGTAATTAGTAGTGGCGTCCCTGTCACTGCTAGATGGAATAACTTATTAGTACCTTACTGTTCTTTCTGCATTTCTCCGAATGTCCTAATGAGAGTGGCCAAACTGATAATGGAGTGTTGAACACGTCTAGCCTGGTGTTACAATCTTGTCAACCAAGTAGCGAGCATTAAAACAAGTAAAGGAGCTTGATAGGAAGTAATCGCCGTTTATTTTCTAGGTCCATTCGCGCCCACTTTAAAACGTTGAAAACGGATAATTGCAGTTTTGCTTAATTACACGTCGACATTAATACTCCCACTGTGTTTCATTTCCTCGTATATGGATCAAATCGGTGTTTCGTTTGTACAATAACTCTTTTTTGGCAACCCAAGTGTTTATAATAGATTTATTACAAAGACTAACAGTCAGGCAAACTGATGTAAATACAGAAATGGTATTTCTTTATTACTTCACAGAGATATGCATAGAAAGACCTTGCAAAAAACCTAATTAGAATCGGTCCAATCATCGCTTGAGATAATTCTCTGGTGTACGCGTGCTAGAGTTAAAAGCAACCTTTATTCACCACACCCGCGAATGCATAAATGCAAGAACAATTGCAAGTCGAGGTGATTCGCAAGTAAATAATATAACAGTGTTTGCACTGGATCGTTTATCTTTATTTTTTCTTTGCTCCGAAATTTTTAAGCGCCACTATCCCTACGTTATACATTCTCGGTCGTACATGTCTTTGATCAGAAATTCACATTACGTTTTATATCTTGTGAAACTCGTGAGCAGGTTAGAACAATTTCAGTGTGAAGTTTTTTTCTTTCACTTGTGAGTAAACAGTAAAATTGCTCAGATAGTACGGTAAATGTCACATAAAGAACCAAACAGATAAAATATTATATTAATCACTGATCAAAACTAGAAGATACCTTGTGTATTAAAGGACGAAAGACTTCAAGTTGATAGTAACTGATAAAAATTCGAATTCCTCTTATTAAGCACCGTAGCGGATTAAAGCTGGTCCAATTCGAATGCTGCCATTGAACTTTTAATATCGTTTGCCCAGAATTCCAATTTTGCGTGTTGTATCAGAAATGCTTGTTTTTAAAGTTACATTTTGTAGGTCGAGATTTTAAAATGTATCTGTTGAATTAAACAGTAGTGGTTGAAAGTTATATTTTCTATGTCGAGGTTTTAGATTGTGTCGTTTGAATTACATTGCCGTGGTTGAAATTTCAATGTCATAGGTCGAGAATTTCTAATTTACGTATTGGTGTAACGCGTTTATGTTAAAAGTCCCATTTCATATGTTGAGTATTTAGATTTCATCTGTTTAACTACACAGCGCTAGTTGAAAATTCGATGTCCAGTGTCGAGTTTTCAGATTGTATCTTCTGAATTACACGGTGGTTGTTGAAACTTAAATGTCATGTCAAAAGTTTCAGTTTAACATGTTGAATCAAATTGATTGTGCTGAAAGTTCCATTTCGTATGTTGAGTTTTTAGATTTTATCTGTTTGAATTACACAGCGGTGGTTGGATATTCTATTGTGGTTGTCAGAATTGATATTTGTATATGGTGAAGTGTGTGTGTGTGTGTGTGTGTGTGTGTGTGTTTCTCTGTGTGTGATTATAACTTTTAACGTAGCTTTAACAATTTTTCAGTCATATCGCTACGATGTCTGCAGTGTGGTTGTTTATAGTGATTTCTAGCACTGGGGCATCATGCCGCAGACATGTAGCATGATGTCCCACCCAGTTACATTATCCTGACACAAGGCCGACCAATCCTAATACTAACCTCTTAATGCTGAGCGCCAAGCGAGGCAGCTGTTTATATCATTTTTATAAGTCTTTGGTATGACTCGAACGGGGATCGAACCCACGACCTATCGCATCTGAGGCGGAAGCTCTAACCAGTAGGCTTCCGGCGCTGTTCATATGGTGAAATATACGGTGTTAAAAGTAACATTACATAATGTCCACTTTACAATTCAAAATAATATCGAGTATTAAGATACATCATTCGTTTGTTCAATTGTGATGCTCTATTACATTTCATCCATGTATAGTTTGAAATGTACCATTTACAGGTCAAGAATTACTATGAATTTCCCCGCTGAAAGTCGCTGTCGTGAACGAACATCGTTATTTGTAAACAAGGAAGCTGCTTCTCGTTAATTTAAATTCATTAGATGAAATCTAAACACTGGCCATATGAAATGGACATTCACAAACAGTTACACAACGTGTAAATTTGAGATTCTCGACCTATTATGTTGAAATTTCAATCACCATTGTGTAATTTTACATATAAAATCTAAAATCTCGATCTTGAAAATGGAACTTTAAGGACATGTAATGTCATCCAACACGTGATATTGGATTTCTCGACATACGATATAGAAGTATGAACTGCAACTTTCTCACTGGCCCAGCTTTTGTCCTCTATGGCGCCTCATAGCCTCTTACATTCATGTTCCTAATTTTGGTTAAGTCAGCACATGTTTAATATTACTTCCGTTCTACATTATTGAAGAATTGGATTTTAAAGATGCAGCGTTTCCCAGACATTCCTCTGAGTATCCTAGAATCGTAGTTATTTTTTTTAAGAAAGATCATTTGATCTTTAATGTTGTTAAAGAACGTTTTTTTTTTCTTTATTTTGTTGTATAATTGATACGTGTACTTTGTTTTGGATAGTATACAGCTTGTCTTTCCTAATATGTGCTTCTGTCAAAAGACCTCCGCTAAAACATCCTCCTGTATATCGGAGGTAAATTCAGAAAAAAATAAATCTAATGAATAACTTTTTTGTTTTCATTCATTTCACTTTCAGAAGAATGTTTTTGTCTTAATTAATGCTCAAGTTAGTCGACTTTAGACTAGTTCAAATTCATTTCTCAATCACATGAAAGCAGCCATTATGATCAGGTGCCTTCTTTTTTGTCCTGAATGCCACACAGAACAAATTGTATTTACAGTACATAAAAGTAACACAGAGGCATGCCAACATTCTGTCCATTGTACTAGTTGTAAACAAACACAACTCCACCATATAAATGTCCCTCTTTCAGAAACACAGAATAACTGTCAAGCGGAACCATAGAAAACTTCAATTAGGTTTATGAAAAACTACAATAATGATCTTATGTGCCAAAAAGAGGTATCTTCCAGTACAATCTGTATAGAGGTTCTTCGAAGGAGCTACTCACAATTTAAAACCAGGACTGCAGTCTAAAACAGGAAGTGGGAATAACTGCAGTGGTGGTATAAGGGTGGAGAGAATATGGAGCACTTAGTATAAATTCAACTGCCATCGAGAGCTTTTTTCTTGACCAGGGTCAAATTCGTACTTAAGGAAAGACACAAACTCCTCTTTTTGACAAAAGCTTGTTTAGCCCGAAAGTTAGGAAACAGTTTTAAACTTGCGCAGTTATAAATTTTCGCATATGTATGTATGTATGTATGTATGTATGTATGTATGTATGTATGTATGTATGTATGTATGTATGTATGTATGTATGTATGTATGTATGTATGTATGTATGTATGTATGTATGTATGTATGTATGTATGTATGTATGTATGTATGTATGTATGCATGCATGCATGCATGCATGTATGTATGTATGTATGTATGCATGCATGTGGGAGGGGTGTACTGCCAACTGCTTGACTAATTTTAACGATTTACAGCTTATCTGTATATGGTGCCTACACTTCCTATGCCTATCGCTACTGGCCATATTTAAGCCTTGATCTCAGCAACCTTGAAAGTGGGAAACCAAGGTGTTGCATTGGTCAGTATAGCTACAGCGACACAGTACTGACATTGTCTTAGGTACCGTATGATGGTATTTCATAGACAAAATATGTATGCAGCGTTTACAAAAGAAAACTAGACAAGGCATTTAGAGACATAATTCTTTATCAGATGGAGGAATAGGCAAATAACGATCTAATTCTATTAACCAGGAACTATTTCTTGAGGGATATATCAGTGTCCTATAAGAAAAAGATCAGATACATTTCAGCAAAGAAAGTCTGTATTGTTATACGTACCATATGATATATGAAAGGAAATCTAGAACATTTTCAATTAAATAAAGTTTACAATTTTATATATGCTACTTTTGTATATAGGGGTGCAAACTTGGTACAACTGAAAGATCATCGCATCGTACATTACATGATAAAACCCAATAATCATTGAGTTTACGGTACAATGGAGCACGATACAACCCAGTAGTCACCGGATTTAAGGTACATTACATCGATTCTGTGAAACAGACTTCTTATCATCTCATGACGTCATTAAGACACTGTTTCTTGGATAAGTTTCATGGTGTTGAGACTTCACTTCGCGCCATTGAGATAAGCGCGAAATGAAAGGCTTCCGAATGAATTAAATTACACAATTTTTTTATCCATATTTAAATGGAAGGCAACATCACTGTCTACATGTATCCTTATTTTAATTTCATTCTATATTGACTATAAACATTAGTTAATTTTATACCCTCTATTTACTCCGTTCATTTGCTTTTATATTTAGGTTGTACTTCCGACGTACTTTATCATGACAGGCGTAATTCGTACTCACTGTAGTAAAACAATCGTCACATTTAAGTTCATACCATTTCTGCGTTTCTTCTTCCCCAGAATTTTTTTTTTGCAGCTCGATAAAACCTTACGTATAATTGTCTCTACAACATATCTGTATACGAATGATGAACATTGTATTTATAGATCTTCCTAGCCCCTACCTCCAATGTTTGACGATACATAAAACATAGCTGTAACAGCTGTAATGATATATATCTACTATATCTTGAAGGATTACTTCGGCCTTCCGCCTTTTTATGTAATTATTCTCTTTACCTCCTGTTCCTCTTTTTCTTTTCTATACTGAAGGCATTACTTCTAGTCACAGCCATACGTCCTTTGCAACTGTGAAATTATTTACGTAGAGACTGAAAAAAAATAAGTCCTTAGAGATTCAAGATAATAAGTCCTAAAGTCATCCAACACAATCTTAATTAATCAGCTTGTTAGGCGTACCGTCTGATCTTTGAAAAAGTGTTGGTACTAATTTTAACATATCTCATGACATCAATTTAATTGAATTAAATTATTCAGAGTAAACAAGCTATGAAACTTCCTGTCATAAAAAAGCGTATGAAAGATTTACACTGGTTGATTAAGCAGCCAGTATTTCAATGAATGACGTTTAGGAGCTTAATGGAACACTGCCATCGTCCCAATTTAAAGTTGCTCGATGTTAAAAAGCATTTTTTTTTCACTTCTAAAATAGGCACGATGTTATATGATAGGGACACAAAAGGACCTATAACCCCCCTTATATTGCTATTACACTTTCGTAAATATTAAGAATTAAAATGAAAAGTGTCTCAAAAAGACAGATTTAATATCAGTTAATAGTTTTCTAGAAGCGTTCCATAAAAATATGATGAAAACCTGTAATGTATATATATATATATATATATATATATATATATATATATATATATATATATATATATATATATATATATATATATATATATATATATATATATATATATATATATATATATATATATATATTAAAGAATACAAATTATTGTTTTGTACAAAATTCTTATCCTGATAGGATGTTAATATGCAGTCCGTGCATGCATGCCTGAGTACGGGTGTTCTTACGTACGTATGTAATGTCCTTGAACTCTTCCTATACTTTTTGAGCTGCACACCTGAAACTTGGACCAATGATAGCACTATGATCGTAGGTTGGACAACCGAAACTTGGACCATTGTTAGCCCTAAGAACGTAGGTTGGACAACCGAAACTTGAACCAGTGTTAGTCCTATGACATAGGTTGGACAACCGAAACTTGGACCAGTGATAGCCCTATGAGCGTAGGTTGGACAACCGAAACTTGGACCAGTGTTAGCTCTATGGGCGTAGGATGAACAACCGAAACTTGCACCAGTGATAGCCCTATGATCGTAGGTTGGACAACCGAAACTTGGACCAGTGATTGCCCTATTATCGTAGGTTGGACAACCGAAACTTGGACCAGTGTTAGCCCTATGAGCGTAGGTTGGACAACCGAAACTTGGACCAGTGATAGCCCTATGATCGTAGGTTGGACAACCGAAACTTTGACAAATGATAGCCATATGATCGTAGGTTGGACAACCGAAACTTTGACCAGTGTTAGCCCTATGAGCAAAGGTTGGACAATCGAAACTTGGACTAGTGTTAGCCCAATGAGCGTAGGTTTGACAACCGAAACTTGGACCAGTGAATGTCCAGGTTGTAGATTATACACTTGAAACTTGAATTAGGATATCCCTATTGGTGTAGACTGGACACCAGAAAATTGGCCAATGATAGCTCTATGGGTGTAGATTGTGAGAATACTTCAAGAAAGTAACATAAACTGAAATTTGCATGTCTAATTTATTAGAATTTTGTGATCAATAATCTAAATGTCAATACATGTCCAAACGGAATCCCTGCTTGATGGCATGGAGTCTTTTAGCTCCTGGTTCAACACATGTGTGATTGGAGACCCTGCTTGATGGCCTGGAGTCTATTGTCTCCTGGGTCAACACTTCCAAATGGAGTTCCTGCTTGATGGCCTGGAGTCATTTAGCTCCTGGGTCAACACTTATATGATTGGAATCCCTGCTTGATGGCTTGAAGTATTTTAGCTCCTCGGTCAACATGTCGAAATGGAGTTCCTGCTTGATGGCCTGGAGTGTTTTAGCTCCTGGTTCAACACATGTATGATTGGAGTCCCTGATTGATGGCCTGGAGTCTTTTAGCTCCTGGGTCAACACGTCCGACAGGAGTCCCTACTTGATGGCCTGGATTATTTTAGCTCCTGGATCAACACTTCCGACTGGAACCCCTACTTGATGGC